TTAAGCCCGGATGTCAGTTTACCAGTCAAACAGAGGAAGGAAGCTTCCACTGATACTCTAAGAGCTCAAGTTCTATGAATAGGGACCTTCATTTGCCTGTATAGTCCCAGGCCATTCAAGAGCAATTAAATTTGGCTAAAATAAGAAAGAAATGCTTTTTAAGAAAAAAAGAAGGTTTGAGAGGATTGCAAAAGTTGATTGTGCTAAAGCACTTTTACACAGGTTTGTTTAGGTTCTCAATTGTCAAGTTGTATTTAAGCTGGTCTCTTACTCTGAAATATGATAACCTTTCTTTTCTCTGAGTTCTTTCTCCTAAATTAATAGCACTGTCTCTAATTCCATGCGCAGCAAGCAAAGAGTTTATTTTACCAGATAACAGTAGGTCTGGTGATCAGCCAATGTCTAAAGAACCACTAGCCAAGTCAGTAGTAGGCCAAAGACTGCAACTGATAAATAGATATTACTCATTAAATCACTTTAAAATTCTCTTTCATCTTCGGTACGAGCTAGTATTATTCATGTTGTCCTAACACACTGAAAGTAGAAAAAAACACTTAGCTATAAAGTAACATTCTATTAGGGGTTTGAAAGAAGAAAAAAAAAAGGAATGTTTTAGATGTATTCCAAAATAGAAGATAGTTTAAAATGGAAAAAAAAAATTCTAAGAGTTGAATTAAATTGGAAGAAAAATTAGAAGAAGAAAGTCCAGATTTAGGTAGGACATCAGAGGATGCTGAAGGCTACACTAAAACTGCATATAAAGTGGACTCTTAAATGAGAGGCTTTAGGAAACACAGTGACTTTTCATAACATCTGTGTATACTTTTCTTTCTTCTCTGCTGGAGCACAAAACTTCAGTAGCTAAAGAAAAGCCCCGGTCTCCTCTCACCACTCCCAGCTCAGGTCGTGTTCCCAGGGCAGAGTGAGGGAGTGGAGAAGTACCAGCCGAAATGCAAGGCAGCACACAGGCCCCAAGCAGCGAGCAGCGAGCAGCGGCCCTGAAGCCCTGATGATTACATCCACTGTCCTTAACTTCTCCACAGGTGGGGAGGTAAGAGAAGCACCTTTCACCTCCAACAAGATTTTGGCTTATAAATATTTAAACATAAGCATTAAACACTACGTAAAATTCCATGTATGTCTATATAAATTATTATTCACAATTATGAAAATTCTTATTTCTGTAAAATTGTCTTCCAGACCACAAGAAAATTTTATTGCTTTTCCCTTAAAGATGGAATGACTCCTAATTTGGAAATTATACTAGTTCTCAAAGATGGGATTTCTAGAAATATTGATGTATAAAATAGAATTCTTTCTTTACTTCATAAATAAAATCTGCCAGAGCTGTCAACAACATAACGTAGTATCAGGTGGCTCATATACAGTCAGTGCTTCTCACAAATGAACTGGCCCTTCTTCCGACGGAAGAGCTATTTTGTAGTTTTATAAGATTTAACAATCGGAGTCATTTTAGAATTTGTACTACTTGGTTCCTCCCTTTCTATATTCCTCAAGCTGACACTTACTGTATGTGGAAAAGGACTGTCAGCACATCCACGTGCATCAGGGCTTCTGACTCACGAGGAACAGCCAATAGTGCCCAGATCATAAACCAAAGCTAACATGCAAAGATGAGGGACTTGGCACTATTTGCCTCACTCAAATAACATAAAAACATACAAATAATATATAAATATCTAAACCGAAAAACTTCATAAGAATTTGACATTATATGTATATTTTTTTCTTTTAAAATTCAAAATTGGACCTATTCCTTCATTGGCAACTTTACAGCTGATAAAAAAAATCTATGTGCATGTTCTTCATCTTAAAACAAATGTTTACAAAAAATAATTTAGAGAATTTTATCTTTTCTACTCTTGTGGATAATCCTACTTTATACACAGTATATTTGCAATATATCTATAAGGAAATAAAAATTCTTTCTCTTAAGTTAGGAAATGCAGGAATTTTGAATACATTCAGTAACTATTTTACACGTGATTTTCTTTCCATCACATGTCTTCCCTTAGCCATCTCCCTAATCTGCACTCCAGCACCTATGCCTCAGATAAAACGCTGTCATTTTGTCCAGTCTTAGGCTTGGATTACTTAGGGGCATTTCTTATCATTATACCAGATCTTCACTCTACTCACTCAAAAAAACTCTATGAGAATTTTTTTATGTTTTAATGAGAAAAAAGTATTCAACTAACAATTCTCGGTGCCTTAGTTTCCTGCTTAGCAAAGTGAGATAGAACTGATTAGCCATTACTCTGAATCCTGGCTCTAGCATTCTGAAGAAAGGAGTGTCATGAGAATACCTTACTTCCACTGAAAAATGTAGCTTTGTATTATGAGGACATTCTCAACCAAGCTTGAACTTAATTGTTATCACTTAATAGACAGTGATAAATAAACCAGTTTTGATAAATTAATCAGAGTGAAATTTATCTCAGAAATCAAAAAATTTAGTACAGACTACTAATTTTTTAATTTGATAGGAGTTGAACCAAAAAAGAAGTGGTATTTTCCTTGTATTCTATGAATAATTTAAATTGAGCAATAATGAGATCCTTATATTTTTATCAGAAAGAAAAAATAATATTCAAAAAATTAAATTGTAAGCAAGGCAATCACGTTTCTCATTGTATTTTTTCAAAATTTAAAACTACAGCTACCTCTAAAAGAGTAATTTTTATAAAGTTTCTCATTGAAATTTTAATTATGAAGCAAACTGACACTTTAAGATATTAATAAATTTAATTCCAGCTAATAAGACAACTAGGTGAAAGTGTCTGTTATTTATTGAACATATGAATGTCACCTGAAACGAGACCATCTTGGAATTTCTCTTATGCTACCTCTTATACTTCACTGACTATTACAGTTTTGGTCAAATTTGAATTTTAAAAAGTGAAGCTACAATACCAAAAATCCCAAGAGACACTGCATTTGTTACCAGAAGCACATCTGATTTTTAGTTGATTTCTAATTAAACAACCAAAGGACAAATCTGATCTCTTTGCACACATTCTGGAAGCCAGTACCATTTCACCTGCTGATCCCGGGGCACTCAAAGTAACGCCTCTTCAGGTTTAACTACCAGTTACTGACAAGTTCTGAAAACTCTTCCTAAAATTCATCAACATTCTGCAAGACAAAGTGTTGGTTTAACTGCCAAAGGCCAATACTGTTTTAAATAGGAAAAAATTCAGTTAGACATTAAGTTTCTTACTATTCAACTATAGCTAGGTCTTAAAGTACTACTTAAAACTCTTACAGAAAAGCCATGTATCTTGACACTACCATAGTGCAATCACTAATTCTAAGGAACTGCAGGTATACTCATAGAAATCATGGACTAATACACCACACACCATGTACACACACACAGACACACACAATACTCCATAAAGTACCAAGTTAAAATTATATGGTATTTATTAAAATACTATCTAGCCTTTTATACTAAATCACAGTACATATTAAAATTTTCTAATATTTACATTAATGATTCCCAAATTAGTTTTATTTTCAAGGTAAAATAACTGCATGTGAAATCACTTCATCTATTCTCATCCAAGAAGCTCCGTGTAACTTTACTGCGAATGTAAAACATCATCACGCCTAGGCTCTGTACATAATATGTGTCTACCATTCGACCTGGTACCCAGTCGCTTGTTTCAAAGTGTATCGGGTAGGCAGTTAAAAAGAAAATTATGCAATGAAGTGTAGAAATTTGATTTTTGATACTCAGCTTTAGTGGAAGATACAATGAAGAAAAGAAACAAACACCTTCGGCTAAATACACCATTCAGTGAATGTACAGCAAGGTGTCCCTTGAATCTATACCGTACGCTTCCACTGAGGATTAATCTGTTTTCAATAAAAAGCTGCCGCGCACCGCTCGCGTCCGGCCTGCGAGCGTGCTCGCCCAGGGCTAGCGCGCGCACCTTCCTCTCCACGCCCCACCGTCCCTCCGCTCCCGGCCCAGACGCGCGCATTCCAGGCCGCACTGGCGACCAGCAGAGGGCAGCCCGCGGGCAGCGCTGCCAGGCCCGCGGCAGGCAGGTACCAAGAAAGGGCAAACTTTTGGATGTTTTACTTTCCAAGACTCTCATCCTTGGAAATGTAGAAAAGGGTGTGTCCGCGTAATTAACACAACTCATTTCAGAGTACTGTGCCACCCAAGAAACGTCAACGCCCCCGGGAAAGCTCCAGGATGCCCCTGCTTGCCGAGGCGACCCCCGAGGGCCCGAAACCCGCGGCGGGGCTCGGCCGGGAGCGCGGTCCGTGCGCACCCACTGGTCGGCCGCCCCCGGCCGCAGGGCAGCGCGGCGCCTAA